TAAGTATCTTGCACGTGGCTTCTGCAAAAGCGTGGTGGGCTCCTCAGAGCTTACAAAAACTTACAAAATCAGGGTTTCGGGTTGCTTTCGGGGCCTGGCCTTGGCCATCTCCACCAGTCCTGAGGAGGTGCTACGAGTTCAATCGGGTTCAAGGGCACAGACTCTACAAGCCAAAGCATGGGTTAGCATGGTTCTTGTTTGGTTTATGACAACCTTGGATGCAAAGACACAAATTATAAGACCAAGTGTATTCTATTCATTACATGGAAGGAAGTCGTGCTTAAGTTAGAAGTGCCATTTGTTTGTAAGACAATTTGGTTCTGGGCAGGGATGTTTTGGAGAAGAAGGTGATTGTAGATGCCTTGTTGTTGTACTAAAGCTGGCATTCAATACTGGGTGGCGCTACATGGGCTCAAACATACTGGGCTTGACATCAACTTCAAATGAAACCAGCCTGCCCATCCCATATTTTTTCATGTTTTGACATCACCAAAAAGCGTGAGCCCTGAGGCCGCGCTAAGGGTCAAGTTCCAAGTATCCGGAAAGAAAGTCTGTGGCCGCCTCCTCGCCAGCGGCTTCAGCACCTCCCAGCACGTCCCAGCCCGAAACCTCAGAAAGCCTCTGAGTCTTTGAGACTGAACTACAAAATCAAATTCAGACCCGCCGAGACCTGTCACCAGTGATTGGCTGTCAGAGGCGGAGCCGAAAGGATTCTTCGTCCTCCCAATGAGTGTCGTATGCACAAGTGCATTAAGTGCCGCAGGTCTTAAGAGGTACAAATAGGAACCAAGCTGACAGCAAGACTTCAAAAGCGAGCTTGAGATCAGAAAACAAAAACTTTCAAGTGCAAATTGAGGCTTCGGCTGGCTTCGTTGGCCCCCGCTTCCGAACCTAACGACCTAACCCAGCCGTACCCTGCAACGAGAACAGCATAACACAGCATAGCACAGCAGGTCCTCAGAAGCCGGATGAGAGCCTTGATGGACGCCTTGTGTGCCTGGATTTCCGCCTCAGTTCAGGGAAGCTGCTGCTTGTTTAATGTTTGCGAGAAGCAATCTCGAGGTTCCTCCTGCTTAGTAGTTGGAGCTTAACTGGGCTAGCAACCTCGGCGTAAGGGCTGTTCCCTAAAAGGGATAGGGCACGAATTGGGGCCTTGGTGTTTAGAGATGCTCGGGCTGGGTTGTACCTGAACTCGAATGCAGTCGGCACGCCAAGGGAAGGGTGCCCTCCAGCTCTTTGAGCGCCATCTCGGGGACACGCGCCTGCAGACGCGTTTTGCCGAGGGGATGGGGTCTGCTTATATATCGAATACTTTAAGTCCGTACAACACCATCGTAAACTCGAGCCCAGAAGCTCGCCAAAATGCTCTACAATGCACGGGGTAATCCCAATGATCCTCAGCTAGGAACGGGGCTTCAGCGGCGGTCTGAAGCAGGGGCAAGCCCCCCGAAGGCGAGTTGTGAGCGTCAAGCGTTTAAACGATGCTCATCTCATCTACCCACATCTCATCTTTACAACGTCCGAATCCCTGACCGCCCCGCACGAGAATCTCCAGAGGGCAGCTCTGGACTTTGGAACCCAACGCTGTTCCGCACAAACCTCGAAATGCACAAATGGTCCACAAACTCAAACCCGAGCCCACCGCGCAAAACAAAAAAGGTTTGAAGCTTCGAGTCTCGCATAAGTCGAGCAAGGATTTGAGGCTCAGGGCTTATGGATCTATGGGCTTTATCGGGTCCTCTACACTCCATGAGCCCCCGCCCAGTAACGTTCCCCATCCTCCATTTGCGAAATACCCACGTTCACGCGCTTCTCGATGGAAATCTTCAGATCGATCTGGGCCGGCTGCGTGGGTTTTCGAAAGCTTTGTATGCTCGGTTTATGGGCCAAAAGGGCCCCCCAAGCTTGGGTTTTTAGATTTAAGGGTCTGTTTCGCATGGGTTTTTGGGATCACTAGACCATGTTCATGGCTGAGAACAAGACGAGCCCGAGAGTGTTTTGTCTGTGTTTACTTTAGGTCTGGACGACATGCCATTGTCAACAAGCGGTCATAGTACCACGGCTGCACATTTTGCGGATGACGTTTGAGAGCTTGAGTCGCGCGACGCCACCACATCATCATGCAACATGCCCAATCTCTGAATATTTGACACTGCACTTCGTGGTTGAAATGGCGCCAGTGCCTACAGACCTGGCATGTCTGTGGCCTGGACCCAATGCTTTTGATGTTCTTGGAAGGAAACACGAGACACCTGACCGCCTATGCGGTACCGAACATGTGAGCACTGAGCCCAGCTTCGGCACAAGACTTTCAAGTGTCCGCCCACCTGCCCGCGAGCACTACGCTGCGTGAAGCTTCGAGCTCTGCTTTGATTACAGCTCCTCTCAGCGCAGCAGCATCCACACCCGTCGCACCAAGGGGAGTGCTCGCGTACTTCATGCACGATCACGCACATTTGCTTTGGCAGCCTTGCAAGTAGGAGTATCTGCACTGGATAACAAGACATACTCGGCCCCAGGTGGAGCATGGCCTCGCCTTTGACCGGTTTAGCAGCGTCACAGTCGCAGATTCGGGCTGCCACCACCCCAACAGAACCCAGTCCCATCGTCCCACTTCCGAGGGCGCAGTGGCCATGATGGCACGAGACAAAGGAGCAATTTCATGGCTACCCCCAGAAAAGACACCCTGCGACCTACTCACCCTGGCTGCACATTTGTACTAAGACGGTCGTGGTGACTCATGGGCGTAAGGCTTTCATGGGGACACCCCTGATTCAACCCTAAGCCCATGAACTCTCGACCCGACCCCGACAAACCTAGATTTTCAGGCCAAACCGAGGTCGATGCGCAGCATGTGCAAATATGTACAATGACCGTACAGCGGCGCTGACTGTACCAACTTTAGATGCGACAGCGACCGGCCTGTCACATAGTTTTCAGCCCATTCACGACTAGTGACTTGCTGTAGCCCGAAACCTCTACATGGACAAGAAGCTTGCAGCGATTATCGTAAACCATCGCTATGTGGTAACTGGTAGCTGTAGTTAAAGAGAACCTGGCTGTCAATCTGTCAAGTCCTTTCAGGGCCGAGGTGCCACGCACCTCTCGAACGAGCGCCGCGCGCTTTTGATCTTGCAGCAAGTCGGGTTGAGAATTCAGGGTCAACAATGCTGCCTTCTGAAATCCATGCAAGATTTCGCGAACATGCTGTAGGATTGGAACGTGGGATATCGAAAAGGCCTCGTTCAAGCATTCTCAGCACTGGGATTTGGAGTGGAAGGGTTAGAGGGCGCAAATCGGAGTTCAAGCAGTCTATAGCTTTGTTTGCTGACCTGGTATGAGTGTTCTTTAACGAATACCCGAGCGCCGGTTTCTTGTTTCTCTATCGCCTCCCCGAAACCCTCCTGCCGACTTCATACCCTGGCCCCGGTCCTTGATTTCTGCTGCTTCCACGAACTGTTCCTGCCATGTCATGCATGGGATAGAAAACACTCCCCAAAACTCCAATTTTTATGCAAGAAACTCTCTTGTCCCCATGGCACCCTGTCCTTGATGCCATTCACCTTCTGAGACACCTCTGCCGCCGCATCGTCCCCCCCCATGATGTCGCCCAAGGCTGCAAGGTTGATCTCAGGGCAATCCTGGAACGCTTTCAAACTTCATCGGCACTGTTAAGACTTCTCGCGGTTCTACGTACCAACCCCAGTCCGCTCAAATGCATGTCGCAACTGTGGGACAGCATGACGTATTGCATTATGTGGAACCACAGAGCCTCACACCCTAGGAACATCTAACGGCCTCAGGCCCGGATGCGAGTTGCAAACGATGCGAGTTGCAAACGGTCCTCGTCGTTGCGGAGGGCTTCCGCAACCTAGCAACTGAAGCAAAGATGCCCTGTAAAGGCTACTAGAGCTTGTGGAACCTTCTGCGCAGGCCTTGGCCTTGAACTCTTCCACGGCAGTGTCCAGGATCCTGAGATTTCTGGCAGGTGGCTCCAGAGGATGCAGTCTAGATCAGGCTAGAGGCACTTTAGATGGTAAAAAGGGGTTTTAAGTTTCGTCGGGCTTGCAGAAGTTGAGGAGACTTTCGTGGGGTTCAAGTCTTGGGCTTCAGCCAGGGATCCCGACCACCTGCGTCTCGGCCTCCACCACAAAAGCCTGCTTGGGGGGGGGGGCACTCGTGTAATCGCTCAGAAATCCAACTCAGGTCAACCGCTGGTTTGAGGTTTAGGGCGTATGTGTTAAGCCTAGGAGCTCAACGGCCATCTGTTCGCCCCAAAACTACGTTCCGAGTTCCGAGCGACCTTTATGTAACTATACTGACAGTAGCACATCGCAGCATCAGCAACCGTTCGTTCTAGGTGGGACCGCTGGACATGGCAATTCATCATCAAGTCCACGATCCAGAAGCTGAGCAAAAACGTCAGGAGATTTGAAGGGTTGCTGTACTTAAGTGAAGTTACCATAAGAAGTCGAAGGCCCTCACGCGCCAAAGCCACAGCCACCAGCACTTTGCAATGTTTGGCCTCGACGATCTGAGACTTGTAGCTGCCAATAGCTTCATTGGATTCTTCCAACACAGTGAGCTCCTGCTTTCGGTATCGCGATGCAATTTAGGCTGTCACCAAAGACTTCCAGCACGTGCAGACATGACGAGTGACGGAGATGCGCAGTTCGGTGTTGCGAAACACAGCAATGCAAGGCTCCGCGTTGCCAAACACCCGCATCTTCGACATCATCTCATCCACCAGCACGTCCACAGCCTCCTGGGGTATAGGCTCTATAGGACATCCATATCGGGGGTCTTATACTTGGGGGATCAGGCTTGTGAAGCCTGCGAGCCACGGAAAAAGGGCTCCACTTTTTCATTCACTTGAAACTCTGCCCCAGGCTCCACTAGACAACGATACCCGGGGTCTGGAGTTGACTGTTTGCAGCTGTGTGATCTACGATAACTCGAACACCCTCGAAGAACGAGCAAATACCAAGAAGAGAGCAGGCCTCGCGGAACTCGTCCAAGAGGCCAAAAACGACAGTCTCCAGAGGAGGCACTGCTGCATTGCAAAGCGCCTTGCCTCCGTTGCTGAGAGTTCATGGCCGGCTTGTACATTCATTGTACATCCAATGGTTTCGGATGGGTTCACAACCTTCGAAGGGAAGTTTTACTTGTCGCAAGTCGCAACCTGAGCGAAAGCCTTGCAGACCAGGGCGCGGGCAATGTTGGACTGTGACATAGAGTTGGACCGTGGCATGAAGATCAAGTGTGAGGGCGTTGTGATGGGCGTCGGGCAGCGTTGGGCTTTGTGAAAAACGTGTAGAGACACGACAGTCTGTGGCACCCAAGAATCTTCGCGTGTTTTGTTTGAGGCTTGTATCGGCTTGCACACCTCATGCACACAGCAAAGCACGAGAAACGCTGGCAGACAGTACATCTTTCAATACATGAAGTGCCCCATCCCTTTGAGCACCTGGATCTGTGACGCCCATGAGGTCCTTGAAGACCTGCCAAACTCAATTGCCAAGCAGACGAGCAGTTTTCGAGCAGTTTTCATGTGAAGATTTAGACGCTTAAAGGCTTAGCGTCGGTGCAGAGTTTAAGGGGTACAAAGAAACAGATTACAATTACAATGCATGGGCCCCCACCAATGCACAACACAAGAATAGAGGTAGAATAGAAGCACAAAGAGCCTTAGAAAGCTCAATAATCTAGAGACCCTGAGCCCAGAGCAAGAAGCCCTCAACCTTTAACCTTACCTGGAACCCCCCAAAGCTCTTAAGATGCCATGAAGTACCCTCATCAGAGTCACCAAAGAGCCCAAAATCTCAAAATCCAAAAAACCCAACCATGTCTTCTGCGCAGCCTTGTCCAGCCCGGTATTGCGCAGCATGTCCTCGAGGACGCCCGCAAGCTTGGACTGCACCTGGGGAGAAATCCTAGAAACCCTGTCAACCAAAAGGAAAGACCCTAAACCCTCAACTCCCAACTCTCCTAAACCCAACCTTCAATTACTGTAAGTCAGCAACTTCAAGAATGTGGGAGAATCTCGTACAACATGGCCAGATGTGATTGCTCACTGTTCGGCCGGTCGCACCTCAACAAACACCCTCCTTAAAAAATGAAATGATAGTAATGACAATGATAAACGACCGTTCTGCCCCTTAATCCCTTCAGCCTCCTAGCTCATTTGTGCATGGACTGAGGGTGGTGTCAGCACTTCTTGAAACGTTCCGAAGGCAACAAGCAAAGGCGTGGAAACCATCTGGGTCCCTCTTCTTGCATCTGGATCCCCCAACTCCGCAGCCGTAAAACGTGTAACCGCTCTTCACTTGTGGTTCCACCAGCCTCCTTGGCCATCTGGTCTTTCATTGTATCAACCTGGGCTCAATGCGGGAAGCGCCGCCATCCCAAGTCAAGCTGCCTCTTTCGGGTTGGAGGCTGTAAGCCAATCGAGTTCAGGTCTTTCAAATTCACCTTAAGCAAAAGGTTGACGAGGCCAACTTACATCCTGCACGAGCATCTTGGGGCGTAAGATTAACAAGGCCAAAAAGCGTGTCGCAGGGCATCATGGGCAACACGTCTTATCATCTTTTGGGGCGGGGAGGTGCTTGCTGAGGATTGAAAACATGAAGGTTTTTGGGGGCCGGAAGCCCAGCCTGTTTGTTGAACCAGTCTTTCACCGCATCCTCAGCCAGGTCCAACAGGTACTCCATGCCGATCTCGGCAGCCTGCGCAAAGAGTTCGAAATGCTTAGGGTTCAGGGTCAGGCTCCAAGATTTGGACTTGGGGCAAGGGAAATCGAAGACACAGCCAGGCTTGAAAGGGTTTTGGAAATATTGTTTCTTGCCACCCGACGAACCACGGCTTTTCCGGGGCACATTTCAAAAAGAGATGAACATCCAACTCGTAGGACATGCTGAGATACATGTGGCATATACGAGGGAGTATCATCAACAATTTCGACAGTACCAAGAAGAAACAACCTTCTAGATCAACAAACAATGCAAGGTCAAAAAATAGTCAGGAAGTGGAAGTTCGCGCCTAGCGGGAAAAAGGGTGGAGGAGGGGGATATATTGGAACGAAGTCTTTCACATCATCATCAAATTCTGATGAACCAAATGGCCCTTGCAAACGCAACGCTCGCATGTCTACAGATGGTGCGATGTTCCGGGGAGGAAGCATGGCAGTAGTGGTAGTAGTACGCCAGTAGTAGAAGAAGTAGTAGTAGCAGTAGTAGTCGTCGTCGTAGTAGTGGTAGTAGTGGTAGTAGTGGTAGTAGTGGTAGTAGTGGTAGTAGTGGTAGTAGTGGTAGTAGTGGTAGTAGTGGTAGTAGTGGTAGTAGTGGTAGTAGTGGTAGTAGTGGTAGTAGTGGTATTAGGGGTAGTAGTAATAGTAGTAGTAGTAGTAGTAGTAGTAGTAGTAGTAGTAATAGTAGTAGTAGTAGTAGTAGTAGTAGTAGTAGTAGTAGTAGTAGTAGTAGTAGCAGGAGTAGTAGTAGTAGTAGTAGTAGTAGTAGTAGTAGTAGTAGTAGTAGTAGTAGTAGTAGTAGTAGTAGTAGTTGGGGTAGTGGGGGTAGTAGGGGAAGTAGGGGTAGTAGTAGTACTAGTTGGGGTAGTGGGGGTAGTAGGGGAAGTAGGGGTAGTAGGGGTAGTGCGGTAGTAGGGGTCGTAGGGGTAGTAGGAGTAGTAGGGGTCGTAGGCGTAGTAGGAATAGTAGTAGTAGTAGTAGTAGTAGTAGTAGTAGTAGTAGTAGTAGTAGTAGTAGTAGAAGTAGTAGTAGTAGTAGTAGTAGTAGTAGTAGTAGTAGTAGTAGTAGTAGTAGTAGTAGTAGTAGTAGTAGTAGTAGTAGTAGTTGTGGTCGCCATCGTGGTAGTAGTAGTAGTAGGAGTGCTATGCAAAGTTGCAAGAACAACAATAGCAACAACAAAATTGTAATGATAGTAGGAATAGTGGCAGGGTCGAAGTCGTAGTCGTCGTAGACGTCGTAGCCGTCGTAGTCGTCGTAGTCGTCGTAGTCGTCATAGTCATCGTCGTCGTCGTCGCCGTCGTCGTCGTCGTCATCGTCGTCGTAGTCGTCGTAGTCGTCATAGCCATAGTCGTCGTCGTCGCCGCCGCCGTCGTCGTCGCCGTCGTCGTCCTCCTCGTCGCCATCTTTTATCTTCGCAACTTTGCAATGGGGCATGCCTTCCTTGGCCAGCCACTTGCTGAAGCCCCTTTGAGCCAAGATGGCTTTGGGCACCGTGCTTCCTTGCTTTCCATTACCTCCTACACTGGTCCTACACCTAGACATCCCGCCTACACTGGTCCTAGCCTACACCTAGACATCCCGAAAGTGGTACACCGTGCAACTAGAACTCGGCCAACGTGATGCACATGTGCCATACACTGCGCGCAACTGCCCGACTTCAAACCCCTGAAGACTGCTTGTGAGGGAGCCGCCTCATTCGCTGCCGCATCCAAGATAGCACCTCCAACTGCAGAAGCCGGGCCTGAGTGTGGCAACTGCGTGGCTGATGAGGGGTGGAACTGGGGGTAAAGGGGGGGGGGGGGGGGGGGGGGGGGGGCGGGGGAGGGCACCTTTCTTGTTGGCCCTTGGTGTTGGTCCTTTTGTTATCCCGATAAAGTAGGAAAACATACATTGCCTCTGTATTCGCGAGGGATATCCTCCATTCTATCTCTCCATTTGACGTGGCAAACCTCCGCTCAGCAAGACGGCCACACGACCCCCTCCAGACTGCAGATGTCGCCATGGTGCACGCGAAACATTCCCTCGAAAATGCATTAATAGACACATAGCATAAAAATATGTATATACTAGACACATGTCCGTGCTTAGCACGCACTCCACCCCCCCGACAAACCTCCCAGAAACCGGACACCCGCGTAGGATGTCAGTTCTCAGTACAGGTATGTGCTAGAACGAAAAATCGCACGTGCGGAAACGCTAAAAACTGGCAGTCCAAGCTTCCTCCACATCACATTGGTGTCGCCAAACAGAAGGGTACAAGTACTTAAGTAGATACTGATCTGCTTGCCACGCCCGGCATGGAGAGATCACACCGCGGCCTCATGGCCTCTGCCATCCCCTGCCAATTCCCCGACCAATCCTTTGCACGGCCCCACGGCTGGGCCGAGGCGGTCGATGCGCAGCGTTTCAAGCTGTCAAGGTCAACTGCTTCCACCGGGACACTACCTCCATGGCCGCTCCCCTGGCGGCGCATGTTGGCCTGCTCAGCAAACTCGATCGACATCTTATTGAAATGGATCTCCTTCTTGCTTCTGCGCCCGTGGCTGCGCTGTCCTGCAATGAAGCATTGCACAAGCTTCTCGACCCTGTATGACACTGTATTACCTTATAAAGCAGCGGTGCAAGCGAGCCATGGAAGTCCCAAATCTTCAAAGCCTCAAAACCATCTGCTAAATCCCAAGCCCTTTCCCAGACTCTGCAGAAGTTCATGTCGATGGCCTATTCCTGTTACATGCTTACAATTTGCAGCTCACTTCATTTCTTTCGACGTAAATGCGGAAACCAGCCGTGGTATAATGCAAGGAGTGCGCCTCCTCCGAAATACCCACTTCTAGACCTTAAGCCCTCAACTTTCAAATAAAAGCCACACCCAAGAGTCCTGTGTAGGATGCTAGAGAGGTCAGGGAAAGGTTCCCGGCGGCGCGGGCATGTGCAGGATGCCGTCCCAGGCCGAGCAAGGAAACAGCGCTGGAGCCCCCAGCCTTGTCCCCAAAAAGACGAGAGAAGGTTCAGGTTGAAGGCTATGTGCTTTTTTTGTTCGTCCCTGTTGATAGGAAATCCTCTATTTTCTCACACACGCGCTAAAAAATGAACAAAGGGTGCACAGGCCCCCCTCTGATTTGCAAACAACGTTTTTGTTTTTTTGTTATTGGGGCTCATGTTCTTTTCGAAGCAAGCTTTCAAGGGTTTAAATATAAATAAAGCGCGGCTGTTGGGGGAGACGCAGGCCCCCATGTGCAAGCACACTTGACAATGCTCGCATAACGGGTTTGGACAGGATTTGTGGAGCAGCGCCCCTCCATGTGCAAACAAAATGCTAGCGTGGCGGGTTCGATTTGCTGCAGGGACAGCACGCCCTCATTTGCAAACACAACGCTCGCCTGACGGGTTTGGACTGGATTCGTATGCTTTTAATGCAAGTTCTCTTCATGGCATGATCTTCTTTACAAAGCAAGTTTGCACGGGCCATATGTGCATACACACATATTTGTATAATATATATATATATATACATATACCCCCAAGCAGGAAAGGATTTAGGGTTCTGGATTAGGGTTCAGGAGTTTAGGGTTTAGGGTTTTGGGTTAAGGGTTTAAGGCTTAGGGCTTAGGGTTTTCAAGGTTCTGTGTTTCACACAGGCCTTTAAAGGCTTTAAGGGTTTGTTTAGGGTTGCAGCTTTTAGGGTTTAGTTAGGGTTTAGTGAGGGGTTTGGAGTTTCAGAGTTTTAGGGTTTAGGGTTTGCATGAGAGTTTTGGGGTAGGGGTGAGGGGGTGGCGGGGGGGGAGGGTGGGGGGACCGGCGACGCGAACCATACACATAACCGGGTTTTGGGTGGTGCACCCCCCACTTTGCAAACACGATGCTTGCATGGCGGGCTTGATCTTCTTTACAAGGCATGCTTGCATGGCGCGAAAATAAATGAAAAAAGGGGGGTTGGGGGAAGAGGGTGGCGCAGAATCCCCCGCCCATTGCAAACACAATGCTCCCTGCACTCACGGTTTGGAGTTTTTTCGGGGGTCAGGCATAGAATAAAATACATGTATGTATCATGGGAAGTGCCTATGAATCACGAGCATCAGTACTTGTTTTGAATACCAACCCCCCGCCGTCCCGGGGGGGGGGGGGGGGGGAAAAGAAGCAATGTGTAGTAATTGGTTTTCCCGCCCCCCATAGTGGGATATGGAATCTTTAATCTATGTTCCTTGGTGCTATGGAATACCCATGCGAGGCCCGAAATTTTCAGAGTTTGAGAATGGTGGAATGCTGAGCTCTAGTTTCCGGAGCTGTGGATGTGCTGCGTTAACGATGGTATGTTAGGGCCCACATTCAGAAGGTCAACGACACGAGCACGACATAACACCAATCTTGCTGATACTTTGCCGATTGACATACCAAAGACAGGCGTGGACAAGGAAAAACGCTTCCAAAAGTCTCCTGTAAACGTGTGGACAGTTCGTGTCCCAATATCCTTCCCAGTATCTGGATGTATACATCAATAGAACCGTTGGGAAGGCTGGGGTTGATGAAGTTTACTAGAATGAGCCTGTTTTCGCGGCGAGGGAACATCCATTTCCGTAGGGCTGGCATCCCATGGCAGAATCAATGCCCACATATAATAACAAATAAGCTCAATACGGTACGACGACTAATCCGAGGGAAGAGGGGACATGGGAGCTCATCTATGATATGAAAATCCTGGAGAACGAGAATGCATGAAGAGCAGATGTAATTCCAACTGACAAGAAACTTGAGCATAGATGGTTTGGTTTTCGTGCTCATTGCTTTCCAAAGCCTCTAGTGCGTAAGGGGCTTTACAAACGTATGCCAAAAACATTCTTCTATTTAGCTCGTTCTTTCTGAAATTGAAAAATGCAAGCCTTGATTTGGGAAAGGGAGTTGCGTTTCAGCAACGAGTGTGCAACGATGTTGAAGGGGGGCCACGAAATGGAGAACCTTGCCCAAAAAGAATACCAGAAGCAAGGGGTACTAGGAAAGCGTGGGGTGTGCAGGACTTGAGCAGATAGCAGCAACAATTTGTTATTTCATGGATCCTGGATGCTCGAGGTCCCTACTCTTGGGCTGTTGTTCCTTATAAAGCTAGAGTAAAGGGTGCGCCCCCGCTATTTGCAAAGAATGCTCGCATGACAGGTTTGGCAAGGATTCGTATGTTTTTCATGTAAGTTCATGGCATGATCTTCTTGGCAAAGCATGGTTTAAAAATGAGAGAACAAGCGGACAAGCGGCGGGGTTGGACTGGCCACGTTTCTGGACAGCCATCTCCCCAAGACCTCCCCTCCCCCCAGCCTCCACCTTCATTTTGTCCAGCTCCCGACAAGCCGCTGGATCGCCTCGGTCCTGCTGCTTCCAATGCAACAAAAGTGCAGAACAAGCGCTGCAATTTTACCAGACAGTCCCTCAAGCATCCCCAAAATGCGCAGCACCAACCCGCGACAAACTTTAAGTGACCCAACTCACAAGATGCTACACTCCTCCGGCATGACTTTGGGATGAAAGGCCGCCTTGTGGCTGCCTCGGCACTCTGAGCCACTGTCCCTGCCCCCCCCCCCCGCCCCCCCGCCCCCCCGCCCTGGAATTGCCGAGAAATGGTGGAAGGTCAGGAAACATCGGAAACCTTAGGGTCACAGTCCGACCTGGGTCATAGGGAGATGGAAGTGAAGCCAAAGCATCTCAAGCTATCCCAAGTAACATTGAGGGCCGGAGTCGTCGTCAAACTCGCAGGTACCATCGTCGGAGAGCGTGAAGCATTCGGGACACTCGTCGAGGCAGACGGCACGTCCTAAGCACTTCATGTAAACGTATGTAAATGGTCAGGGCAAACATGGGTAACCCTGCGATGGGAATGAAGCTTCTGAGTCTGAACTACTTGCAGCCAGTCGCCCACTGCGATTCTCTCAGGTCGGGCTTATCAGCAAGGTGGGCATAACCAAGCTTCCTACATCCTCCGTTCTCCTATGGCCTCCTTGTGGATCAGCTTCAGTTGGCCCCAGATCGGAAGCCCCTGGAACCCTTTTCCTTCCGCCGCAACCCCAAACATCCCCAAACCTCAAACCCCGATTTTACGCAGAAACCCATGGAAACCCCCAAAACTCCGCAGTTCATACCCTTTGAGATTGCAGAAAGGACCCGAAATGATCCAAAGACCCTCACCCAAAACCGAGGCTCCGGACATATCGATGTGCAGCGTTTTGTGCAAGGGGCATTCCATGCAGTCATCCGGCCGGGGGCCCGAACCTTGGGTTCAGGGTTTTTGGCGGGCTGCGCTGCCAGGAAGACTTGAGATTTAGGCGAGGTTGAGGCCCTTTAGGTTTCGTTCTGGTTTTGGTAATTTTGCGGCTTTTGGGGATGTTGGTCAGGTGTGCTACTTCTTGGAGAGGTGCCATCAGCCTGAGCAACAACTTCCTCAGGAGACAAGCACAGTCTCTTTGGAGGTTTTAAGATATTTAACTGGTATGTTCAAGGTGCTGCAATCGGGTCTCATTGTTTACTGGCGGGCAATGCGGTTGTCCGTTGCAACCAGAGTTGTGGAATATGTCTGAAAGCAATTTCATGAAGGCAATTTCTTCAGTGTTCTCCGCAAGACAAGGCGCAGCCGGAACAGCCCTCGCTGCACTTGTTGCAGGCTCCGCGTGCCGTATTGTCATTGGGGTCCAAGTCCATACGGATCTGGTAGTAGCCTTGAATGTTCCAACTTGCACGTCAAAACCGCCATGCACATGTCGCATCGGCACTTCAGGCACTCCTCTTATAAACCAACCCACTCACAATCCGACTCTTCCTTCTCGCATTTTCCCGACATTTCCCGACCTTACCTACAAGGATTTCTGGTACCATGCCTTGCTTCAGCAACTTTCTTCTTGGCAGCCTTCCGGGCATTCTGGAGATGTCTGGCCGGGCTCCATGTAAACGATCAAAGTCTTGTCCTGCTGGCCAAAAGGTGCAACACTCGCCAGGCCGAGACTTGGGGGGGGGATCGTTGGGGGACGCCCCAAGATTTGCGATTTTGGAACCCGCATTAGGCTGCCTCAAGGTTCCCAGGATTCCGGGATTCAGAGTCAATCCACATGCATGGTACATCATGGTACCCTAGGTGTAAAGCCCTCCTCAAAAACTTAGGGGAATAAGGCTGCTAAAAGTGCTCCAGAGCAGGATTCTGAGTGCGAAAGCTGTGAGAACCTAGGCTGTATGTAGGTCAACGGCTTTCTCAGATCAAAGACGGGCTTCAATTGTAGATCAGAAAATGTCAAGTTGGACGGAAGCCACCTTCTTTTGAACTCTACAGGAGCCTTGAACAAGCAGAGCAAGGACCATAGATGAGACGCTGCCGGAGTGTCGTGGCGTGTACTTCCAAATCTAGCAGCTAGAGGGAACCGCCATGCGCATAGGTTCTGAGCTTGCGTGGTTCCATGCAGTTGGTCCGGGCCGTCGGCGATGAAGCGCGGGTCATCCTCCAGTGCTGTGTTCGACTCCTTTTCTGCATCCCCGATGCCAGCAAACCTCGGCCAGGCTAGTTGGGTCTGAGGAGTGTCAGAAAATCTCAGGAATCACCGTGTGCTCGGTAGGTGGGGTGCAAAGCTGTGCGCTGTGATAATCTGGCTGCACAGCACAGCGACGGAGTGGTTTCTACAACATGCGCTTGGTGACTTGCGCTGTGAGAGAAATCGGCGCTCCCAACATCATGTTGCTTTGACTAGTGCCGGGCAAAGTGCTGACACAGTTGTCGGGCATAGAACAACCAACTGTTGCGCCAATTGCAGAGCTGAGCATCACTAGTCTCTGTGCAAACCAGTACAGAGTTGGCACATGCCCTATGCAGCCTATGCGACTGAAGGCAACACCCGTTAGCAGCAAGAGATGTCACAAAGTTCCTGCCCAGTTGTGCATCCTTTTGCATCCTTGCTCCAGGTAGTTTATGATCTTTCCTCGGATCCCTAAATCCTCTAACGCCTGGTAGCACGTCGCTGGGATTTGAAACGCCGTGCTTCCTGGCTGGTAGGCTGCGGGGACGGAGATTTGGGGGGGCTCAAGAGTAAGGCCAGGCTTAGGCACGATGCAGGCGGCAATGCGAACGACTGAACCCACTCGATCAGGGACCTGGACATTCTGGCTATTGACTATTGATTTGGGACTTGAAGAGGACGAACAGCCGCGTGGGTGAACTGTACAGTCACTTCTCCTCACTAATCCGACGTAACCTGTCAGAATTGGCTGCAAAAACAATTCCCTACAAGGTCTCCACCCTCGGAGCTTCGTGACAACTCCGTTGTTTCCCCAAAAGCAGACCTAAACTTATGTGGGGAACTCACCATCTAGATTGTAAAAACCCCTCATTGCCCGTTAACCAATTCTACATTCTCATGGCGCCTCAGAAGCTCCAGCAAAGCCCCCATGGCCGAGGGCGGCGGCTCCTTTCACAGAAGGCTTGATGCCGCTTCAAAACACCTTGCATTCGTCGGAACTCGGTTTCCCCTCGAAGCCCAGAGAACAACGTCCGGCTCCAGCAAAGTTCGTGGCTGGGGCTTCTCGGGCTCCACTGATGTGTTGAGCTCCAAGAAGACGAAGGCCTGACCCTGGAATCCGGAGGATTTCTTCTTCTTCTTCTCCTCCTCGGACCTGCGAAATTAAGCCAAGCCCCAGGCTGAAGCACCCCGAATCATCCAAATCCCAATGCCCGTTCTCATCCCTCTCCTGAAGCCCCCAACGTGACAAAAGCCTGAGTTGGGGTGCGAACCTCCGGCTTCCCAAACTTGCCACAGTTTGGGGCACATAGAGCGTCGGATTTTTGGGACTTTGGGAGTATAGCTGCCCACGCACGAACCTGCATTTTCACCAGGTGCTTTGGGCCAGGGATGCGGTCAAAGTGATTCACTGCAAAGCAAAACGGGACGCATAGCGGCTGCTGTGGCAATTGTGAAAGACAGTGCCCGGGGGGATGGGGGGTGGGGGGGGGGTAAGGGGGGGGGTGGTGGGGGACAAACACGCGGCCCCTTCACAGTCTCATGAAAGCCCGAAAGCCCCTGACTCATAACGCGCCTCAGGTTGCAGACTGGGGCAACGTCGTCGCATTTCCTCTCCGTGCAAAACCGCTTGGACTTGAGCTCCAACTTGCCTTTTTTCACCTGTGCAAGTTGCATCTGTGATGTTAGGTGTAATGCAAGGCATACTATGTCGGGGCTTTTGGGACTAGATTCCGAACCTGTCTGAGCCTTGAAAGGTCCTGGGTCTTGGGGATACTTTCACGGGCTTGTGACTTTGGTATACAGGTGGTTCGAAAGTTCCGGACAGACTTGTCTGTAAGCAGAATGGCACAGCCACCAGTTCGAGAGTACCACCAGACATGGGCACATGGCGACTTCTACCACAAGAACTTCGTCCAACGTGAACGTTTCAGTTCTGAAGACTGTTTTAAAACAGTCGTCTTGCCACAACTAACAGCGACGGACACAAGAGCAACAGCTTGTTCTGGTGAAGCACCTCCTTCTTGCACGCCGCCTGGCAGCAACGTTGGCGCTCTGAATGGGTTTGCAAAATGCGGCTTGAAGCAGAGGGCTATGAGGTTGAAGTGTTTTGCCATTCTAGCCAGCGCGACATGTTTCGTATTAACCCGCGACTGTGTTTTTGCTGGGGATATTCAGGCTACCTCTGTGACTGCAAGCGACTGACTGCAAGCGACTGACTGCAAGCGACTTACACGCAGCGAGGTGATAACCAGTCACACAGCGCGGGAGCCTTGTAAGCCGGCGTCAGTGGGGCCCTCACTCGTGTCTGGGTCCCTGCACCACATGTCACCTCAGCTGAGATTCCCCTCTTTAGGAACATATCTTCCGCGACCCATTGGCTCGCGGGACTCAGACAGCCAGGTGACGCTGCAAGGCATCCAGTCTGCCCAATCACCAAGCTGACAAGGAAGGCTCTCCTCTTGCATTGGGGATGCTGGGTCAAGCCAGTACAGAAGTTCCATCGGGCCTTTAGTTGGAAGATGTTGGAAGGCTGCCAGGAGGCAAGGAAACGCACCCCGGCCACAAAAAGACATTTCGGCCCGTCTTCCCCATCTCGCCAAGCACCCGGGAAACTTCCAAGAGCGGAGCCAAGGCCATGTACTAAGCTCGACCAAGCGCCCTCGGGCGCACAGGCCTGCTAGCAGTAGTAGTAGTAGTAGTAGTAGTAGTAGTAGTAGTAGTAGTAGTAGTAGTAGTAGTAGTAGTAGTAGTAGTAGTAGTAGTAGTAGTAGTAGTAGTAGTAGTAAGTAGTAGTAAGTAGCAGTAGCAGTAGCAGTAGCAGCAGTAGTGGCAGTAGTAGCATTAGTAGTCGACGTCGCCGTCATCGTCGTCGTCGTGGTCGCCGTCACGGTCGTCTTCATGGTCGTCGTCGTCGTCGTCGTCGTCGTCGTCGCCGTCGTCGTCGTCAGCAGCCGCAGATGGCATGGACGGGGCTCCGTTAGGTTTTGCCACCTCACACGGCTCTTCATGCAGTGTTGGTTGAGGCCTTCGCTTTGCATCAAGCCTGTTTCCAGCCATTGCTGACATCGGAAAAGGGTTTTGCTCCGTTTTGCAGCGACATGGAGGGCTACATTGTGTGTTGACTAGCCCGGACTGGACATGTCGGGGCCTCGACTCGACCATGGTCAAAGGGCCACAAACGCGCCTACAAATGCCCTCAGAAAAGTCATCGTTCCTTCACGGTCTTCAAGGCTCGCTCTACAGGCTCATCCCCGAACGAAATCGTAAGGTCTCCTTGGCTGCATGCCAACCGCAGGACGGCTCGGCACGGCAGTCTTCTTCCTCCAGCTTAGAGCATTCGGCCTCCTGACTGGCATTGACCTTCAGGAAAGAGTCGCATCGGGCTTTCAAGATCTTAAGTACCAGGGATATTGCTCTAAAGCAAACCGACATGGGAGCCGCAAAGCAAACCATACTTCAAGTAACCCTATAAGCTCTGCAAAGTGCCTGGCGCCACTGTCCAGGATCTACGTACAGTTGAGCTCGCTTGCTATCACTGATTCGTTTGAAAGGCTCCTACTAAATCGGGTTCAACTTGTGAACACAGCATTGTCTGCCGGTACTAGTCTCGACCGCGAAGCGGTTCGACACACTTCCAAGGGAACAAGTGCTGCGACCAGCCTTGGCAGTGGAGTTGGTCTGGACCCAGTTCAAGGGCACGACCTCGGAAAGGCAAAGAACTGTTCTAACTACAGTAGGTTCAGTAGTAGATTATGGTTGAACATGTCCACGGAAAAAAACCTTCCCCCAGAGTTTCATTTTGTAGCCTGCGTCACCTTGCAGGAAGACGTTGAAAACAAACCGCATTCACTGTCCGAGTCTTGGGGTTTAACTTCGACTTGAGGCATCGAGGTTTTGAGGACGCTTGGGGGACTTTCAGGCATGTTTGGGCGATCCTGTTGGCAGCGCCACGTGCTGCTACACCTACACCTTGTGTCCTCCCATCATGATCCACTCCAAAGGTTGAGCTGGCACAAAAGAAAATGGAGAACGAGCACATATTGAGAGACGCGGGACCGTGACATACGGTCGGTACCAGACCTAGCTCTCTTCGGATACATGGCACCTCCCAAAACAACGTAGGCTCGTCTTGGCTTATTATGGAGGCACGCCTGCTCCTCACCAGCGAATTCTGGAAGTACCCAGTCGCTGGGCAAGTCCTGCACCAAAGTTCCATGCCTCGTGATTTCCTTCTCCGGTGAAGGGGGCAGTGGTGATGCAAAACAGCCTGGTGGTGCATGATGTTAAGGCTTTGAGGGTCCTTAAATCCGGGTTCGTGGGTTCGGGGCCTCGACCAACATCACATTCACATGGGAAGCACCCCGTCCTCCTCTCCAAAGTTCTTATTCAAATACTTCACATGGACCAGATTCTTGCCATCCACCTGAGGGACATGAGAACCATCTAGATTGCCTGCTCAATTACATTCAAAACCCTTTAAAACTCCAAGCCTCCCAACTTTACCATGTTTCCACCTGCTTGTCAGACTGAAAGAGGGCATCATAGGACTTGTTGCTCCTCTCTTGGGATCTTGGATGATCATGGGATACCGCATCAAGAAAGATGAAAAGAACATGGGCTGGGTTAGGGCCTCGACACTCGCAGATGTCCGACTCTCACCCTCGCGGTTACATGCCGGCGCCGAACTCATGTTGACATGTGCCAGAAGCTTCATAAACCCGTGAAGCCTTGAATCCCCAAAAGCCTACACCCATCCTGCACCCATCAAAAGCAGGTCCTCTTCGTCATGTTCGTGTCCATGGGCAAATATGCCTTAACACGTTGGCCTGGCAGCACTTTCGTGTTGCACTTTGGACAAAAAGATACCGAGTCTTGTCGCTCGTTCCGCGAATCATACAAAGAACAGACCACGAACATGCCTAAATAGGCGACAAATCACACAGAGCTTGCGATGACTTTTGTAAACCCCGTCATCTCTTGCAGTTTCAACCGGCCTGCAGTGGCATTGAAAAGAGTCGAATCCGGCCAACTGATGAGCCGAACCCGGACCGAATCAGTCTTCGTTACCTTGATGACATTGGCCATCACGCTGTCATCGCTCCGAACACGCTTGAAGTCTTTGTGAGTCCAAAACCTCGTACGGATCTCGTCGCCGAGCTTAAATTTGGGCGGTGGGGTGGCCTTGCAGCAGTCGCTGCAGGTGGAAAACTGCGCTGGAGCATTGACGGAATGAACCAACTGCTCGCGGATCTTGATGGAATGTCCATGCGCCATGGTCACGTGGAGCACGAACACCAAGATGACATTGCTGCACAAGTACCTGACTTGCCCAGCTGGTCCTAAAGCCTCCACTTCACCCTGCTTCCGAACTTCCCAACAAGTACATGTACAAACAAATTCTAAAGTAGGCTCTTGCACGGAGGGGAGCGAGGACGAAAACACCATCCTCGATTGAACTCCATCGCAACTTCACAGGCTGTCGCGAGGGAGCTTGCTACATTGACGTCCAGCTTGAGACGTCTCATGCATTCACGTTGCATTGTCCACAGTCATAGGTCTTGCTGGGTGTTGCAAGGCCCTTAACTCCTGTACGCATGCTTTTCCTGACAAGGGCAGCAATGCTTTGGGGGAAAGCTGACTGGCTTGTGGAAGAAAAGGCAAATCTCTTGACACTACGATATTAGACGTAGTATGTCGTACAAGAAAAGTATGGTTCTGCAGCGACCACATTGGTCGTGCATAGATGAAGCATGAACTTTTCGGAGTGCACGCTTACTTCAGGGAATGGCTTCCTGGAGGGCATCTTGCTGACACAACCGGGCCAAAGGGCCGACTGCCACAAGGAAAAATGCGTGACCAAACAAGTTTCCAGCTATATGGTTTTCACATGTTTTCACGGTATGATTTTCTTATGGTTCTCCATCCCAGCACTTTGCACTATGAGCAAAGAGACACACTTCCATCCCTTCCATCTTGAGCATCAGGGCCAAGAAAGCCTTCCGCACGGCCGCAGGAGCACAAACCGAACCCTGAAAGAAGAGGCTCGATTTTGCTTTGGATAAGGCACTTTTCTGGGCGGCGGGGCGCACTAGTGGGGCCCACTGGCGTGGCGGGGCTGCCTGGCGGGGCGGGGGCGGCTTGGGGGGCCCGCAGGTCACGAAAAAAAACAACTGGCGGGGACCACTCTAACAACCCAACTTGTCCGGCGGGGAAAAAACCTTCATTAACAAGAAGGGCGTGACAAACATTTGGGACGCCTTGACCGCCGGGAGAGGGACAGGTGGAGGGACTTAGTTTTCGAGTTCTGGTTGAGCTGCTTTGGATTGTTTTGAGTTGCGTTTGATTCACCTCCGGCCCCATTCCTTTACAACATTCGGCTTCAGCTCGCCATCCGGGCGAAATTCCCTCCCGAATCAACGCCCCCCCCCCCCCCCCCCCCCCCCGGACTCCCCCATCCCCCCCTCCTGCCCCCTCCCGTGTTCCCTCCAATAAGCGGATTGCCAACTATAGCCAATCGTCCTGCCACCCCATTTGGCACATCCACACCCTTTCATTGCTCATGCATCTCAGTATCGCCACATGAGAGCAGGAAATATTCCAGTCAAAGGGCTGGGCAAGTTGCGGAACAGATGGGGGACGTCCGCATCCATAATTGTCTAGGCAAGTTCTTGTCGAGTTTGATTTGAGTGTTTATTCTCTCACCATGCCATCAGAAACGTTCTTTAAGGACGACTTATTTCAAGCTCCGACTTCAGACACAACACTGCATCTACTCAGCGCAAGGCAATCGCACTGTTTTCACAGGTGTAGCTGGATGGAGTGCTGGGGGCCCAGTCGGCTATCATGCGCAGGAAGGTGCTGAGAGGTTTTTTCGTGATCCACTTTCTGCTGAGGTGTTATCACACCCCGTGGGGAGCGTTCGCAGCCGGTGACCGCGCATGCGTGGCCGTGCTACCTGTAGCAACGCAAGCCGCTCGAGAACCTCGAAACAGGCGATACACTGCTGTGCATGATTTGTAAGCTGAGGCCTGATGGCCCGGACTTCAGACATGTCATACAACCCAACCACGCGAAACCCTCGCGCAGATCCACCCCCTATGCCTGGGAGCCTTTAGCCACGGCGTCAGCCGCACTGAGACATTGCAAAAACGCCCTCAGTTGCAGTTGCAGGAGGGTTTGGTTGCAGCGCTTGAGAATTCTTTCGAGCCAAAGGAGATCAAAGGAGTGCGTCTCGTCTTTTGTGACGCGGGTGAACCTCGTGCCTATTTGGGTCTGCGAGGCGCACCCAAGCGCGTTGTATGCTTTTGTGAAAACTTAACATCAAACCACAACCCTTCCCAAACCACTCACACTCACATGCTCAGAATGCTCAGAGACTTTTCCTCACATGTGCTTGAGGCGCGCTTTGAGCCTGCGGGTACGCACTGTGAAACGTGCTCGTACAAGCCGAGTCTCCTCGTGCCTGTAGGCCTAAGGTGGCGATGCGATTGTCCACACCAAACTTATGTCGGTGGTGACGGTGTAGTTGAATCCTCCGCTGCTGCACACACAAGCCCCAAGCCCGAAACCTTAAACCCTTGCGAAGGAACGACACGCAGCCCAAGACCACCAACTCTCTCGACTGGCGGTTTCAAGCAGCAATACTTCCTGCGACAGAACCACACCTAAGTACTTCGCACTCCTAGCCTCCAAAACGGTGTCCTGCTGTTGCTGGTTGCTGGGAAAGCCAATCCAGGATGCGTTGCTCGTAGCCCCATTGCTCCTCCTTGTAAAACCAACCTCAGACAGTTTGCCCAGGATTCCCTTTCGTCCGCTGGAGGCAGATCGGGCGAACTTCCAAACTTCCCAGCTTCCGCCCGTGAGGCCATTGAACTTGCAACTCTTGGAACAGTCGCAGGTGGAATCACAAGAGCTCCACGATGTGAAAGCGAAGTGCTTGCAGATCAATATGTCTCAACTCCTAGACCGGAGCGTACTACGTGTGCAACAGCTTCTAAGTCGGGCGCGCTGCTGGAAACCAACAAGCACCAATCAGTGCTCAGCAGCAATAACAAAAACCACTGAACAATAAAGAGTGAAAAGCAGCGATTGATCAGACACATCCACATCAGCCATTGGTTATGAAACAGTACCATCAAGAAGCAACAGCCTCGAAATATCAAGCGCTGAAAGTCTCAGGAAAGAAGCGCTGGTCTTGTTGGAACTCTGCGACGAGGGCGTTCACGACCGTCACATTGTCCTCCGATTCCGCTCCAGGGTCTCTGAACGAATGCTCTGAAAGCAGATGCACACGGCTCCAGCCCTGCCAAAGACTGCATGCTTCCAGGAGTCGCGAGGGGTAAACCCTCTGAAGAGTAGCTCACTGACAAAGGCCATCTCCTGAGCTGTAAGGGAGAAAATATGGAGATCCATATGCGGAGCCATCACATGCAATTCGGCACCTCGGTCGCGCCCTCGACAAAACTTCGACCAAGTGTGTCCTCCCAGTGAGCAAAGAGCCTTCTCTCAAGGAGTCGGGGGAAACGGCCCTAAACTCCCTAAACCCCCTAAACCCTGAACCCCAACAAAACTCGATGGAAATTCGGGGAGTTCTCGGGAGCTCGTGATGCACAAGTACTTGGAATCCCACACGACCAACTCGAATGCACTTCGCCTGGTGTTGAAAAAGCACAAACGCTCCATTCCTTCCGAGGGACCGGGTCCGAACTGTTAGCGATGAGGTTGATCCATCCAGTTTGATTGTTTTGGATAGCAAAGAAGACCTGGGGGCACAGGGCTAATACAAACGAATTCCAGAGAAGTACACTTGTCCGAAGAGTTCGGTGTGTCCTAGAGTCCTAAAGTCAACACATAAGGTCGGAGGATCGTGGCAGCAAAGCACATGCCTTGTGTGATAGCTACAGCGCAGGTCCTGCATTTTGGACTCGCGAGAAAATTTTACACGTGCACTCTTGCCCGCAAAGTGGTTCAATGATTCTTGGCGACTGCTCGATGCTTCCGGAGACATGCACAGGTAAATCCCGCCAGAAATTGTGTCGTGACTAGTTCCGCTTATGTGCAGACCGCAATCAAGATCGCTCCACGCATGTCTGGGAGACCCCACCCAGGGAGCAGTGACTGCCGATACTTTCTTGCCCGAAGCAGCGGCTTTTGTTGTGAAACCCAGCAGTACTTCGACGATGCTTAGATTTGAGTGTGTCCATCTGATTTCAGGCTTCGGGCTTTGGGGTAATGCACGTGACTACCTAAGAAGCTAGCAAGCAAAATCAGGCAAAATCCCTTGCAGCAGCATCATCAGTCATCAGTCTCCTTTGTCACAATTTCAACATGGAGCTTGACACCTCGACGGCATCACATTCGAACCTGCCTAAACTGATCACACGACGACTGCCGGAACCTTCACCACAGCCCTCACGTCTTGCCGTTCGCCGCCATCGGATCAGCGACGCAGACTGATCCGGAGCAACGCACAACAAAATGTATGAAACAACGGCGCGGGTAAGGAACCTAAACCCTGGGCAGACCTCACAACCTTCAACCCCGAACAACTTTGCCCGAACATGTGAAGTGTGGCAGGGCATCGAGCGGAGCACGGGTAGAAGTACAGATGCAACTCGAAGCGAACATCTGAAGTGATCCCCGAAGGCCTTGACCTGTACATAGTGCATGAGCTTCAAGTCCGAGGCCCTGGCTTTTCCAGTTTCCCCTTGGCAAAGGCACAGACTAAACCGGTCCCACTAGCGTTAGGATGCGTTAGGAGTACGCAACTTGATAGTGGCTCCTACTTGCAACCGTTTCAACAACTCCGTTTGAAAGCGACACATCAGGGAGTAAAAGACCTCCACGTTGATAGGTTGTCAAAAGTATAAGGAAGAATGAACCTTCAACGAATATTGGAAGAGAAGGAAAAGGACAACGAGCAATACAAAAAAAGCGGCATCAAGCGGCGGAAAAATGCAAAGACTTTCTGAAGAAAGGATACAGAAAGAGTTACCCTCGGCCCCCCGGCCGAAAGGAAATCAGATCCTCCATGAAGAACTGGTCTCCAACCCCACTAGCTCCACTCGCTTCTCAAGACGCCAATTTCGCACGCACCCCCTCCACCCCCCAGCTCCCTGTTCCAGCATGCAAACTGCGTGCGAAGGCACGTCCCTGCAGTCCTGTTCGTTTGGGCAGACCTCCCTCTCCTTTCCACATTCGATCCAGCTTCCCCCCCTTCCTCCCCTCCCCCCCCGCTCCCCGCCCCCGGAAATGTAAGCTGGCAACCTTTGCGTGCAGACCATCCCAGAGAAATTGAGGAACGAGGGCAAGGTAGAAACCAAAACCGTCAGGAACTTGGCAGGTACCTACAGGCAAACCGTGAGGTTCGAAACAAAGAACTGCCTTGCTTCTGTAGTTATCCCACTTCCTCGCTTGTTTCCTTATCGCCCGCAGATTGAACCCTCGATGAAAGAGAAGAGCCCTGGATCCGAAAAGCTCTGGATCGGGACTCTAGGAGAAGGACTGCAGCGTTCCCTGCGTCACAGAACCTATGGCGGGGATGCGAGGGTGGGGGGGGATGCCATGGTCGTTTCAGGACATTTCCCCAGCTAACTAAGCCAGAAAATAAGCCATCGAGCATTCTCGAGGCAATGTCTTCTTGAAAAAAAACGGGTACAACCAAAAAGAAGCCCGCAATAAGCTTTATACTGAACTGATTTCCGGTATATTTCGGGTCTATTATGGGGTTATTTCGGGCTTATTTTATTACGCTACGCCGGGCGCATTTTGACTCTATTGTTTCTGCTTTGTTTTGGACAGCCATCAGGTCAGTTTGCTGCCTTAGTGATGGGCATTGCATCCCTCTCCCCCTCTGCATACCCCTCCCCCCCAAATCCCATGACCTCGATTGGAGGAAGACTGTCGGGCAAATCTGTCGTTTTCAAGATCCTATTGATGAGCTCTTCGAAAAGTCCTTTCCCTGTTCTTGTCAGGTACGTAGACAGCTTTCGGTAAATCAAATTCGTTTGGGAGAGAAAACCTCAGCTAAATTATCATTTGATTACCCAGAAAACTCTTCGTCTGCCCCTCACAACCCCAACGCTAGAAGGCACCTGTGAATCTAGTTGTACACGTCTACAATCCTTAAGCCTGCCTCCCCCTCCTCGCTCTGTCGACGCCGAGGGTCCCTGAAAGTTGGTCAACCAGGTCTTTCTCAATTCCCAGACCTCAGTTTCACTTCTGTTAAGGTGGAAGCACCCCGTTCTACTTCTGACGAGCAGCGAAAGGGTTGCCATTAATGTCGCTGACGTTGGCAGGCAGGAAGGCAGCGCTCGCTTCTCCATGTCCAGAATATCCATGGTATCCATATCCATATGCCTATGTTGCCATGTTGGAACGTCAGGCATCGACAGCTAGAACTTGTGGCGGGAATGCGGATTTTTACATATGACATAGCCTGACCTCAGCATCACTCGTGAGAAAGGAGTCTGCAAGTCTGCCGTATGGCTTTGCGATGGCAAAGACTTTGCATCCTGCAGAACGAGAACCCCGAACTCCCAAAGCCAAGGCATGCCAAGGCTCTTTTGAGTCCTGCTTGACATACGACAAGACCGGCTTGCCCCAGGACACGTTTGAGGCTTGCACTGGCGCAAAGCATGGCTTGGTTGTCTATGTCTTAATCTTCGAATCCCGGCGACAGCACCGGCCTGAAAGCCTCATACCGTGTCCCGCACCTCTCCTACCCTCGAGAGGCTCTAAAGTTGAACCTTGTCCGAACGAAGACCACAACGACGGAAAGGAACCCAGGGCGAATGTGTGGAAAAGCGGTGAGAAGTGAATGGGAAGGAGATGGAAGGAGAAGAGACCCGTCCTGGATTTCTGATTCGTTGCTAGAAAATTTCGCAACAAGATGTTAGAACGCCACGGCTTTATAAACAAACAGGTTTGCTGCTAAGGACACAAAACAATTTCAATGAGGTCTGTCTTCGAATCACATTTCCTCAAGGAGCGTGGGCTTGTTTTCAAGCCAAGGCTTGGTTGGTGGTGAATTCTTTTCACACTCAAAGAGGCATTTTGAAGAACACAACTCAGATGCCCCCAGAGCTATTCACAAACACCTGTTAAGCTACTAAGCTAGGTCTTCTACGCCACATAGAAGCGAAAACCACTGCGCTCTGTGCGAGGGCCGGGAAGGGGACTTCCACCAAGGGCGCGTTTGCGTTGCACAGTGCAGGTGCACGCTGCTAGTGTTTAAGACTATCAGTCACTATCACCACCTGGACCCGCGCAGGCAAACATGGCGCTGCACATTGAACATCTGCAAAATTCGCCGATGTACAGCAATAGCAGCAAGTTCAAACCTCGCAAGCATGTAGTAAGGCAGCGCCGCAGAAGCTGCACCGGCACGAAAGAGACGCAGCGCCGACCAACCACATTCTTTGCATCTTCGTCAACGCCTTTTGCGGAAGTTTTTGTAATCTGTTGTAGATCCAACAACGAAAAGACAAGCAGTTGGAGATGTCATTCGACGCACCAGCTCATGCGCTAGGCGGTGAGACGCGACGTCCGACAAGGCAAGAGGGCGTCGCACTTCGTGATGGTCTCTCTGAACCTGGACATCTGATATGGCAATGTTCAATAGGTGCGGAATGCGTCCCGTCAGGTGTCGATGGCGGAAGCGGAGCAAGATGCAAACATTGCAAGATACAAGCATGATGCTTGGACAGCTATGCCCGACCACACCCTGCGCTGCTCACTGCGCCTGCAATCTCAGAAGTCCCTGAGGAAACTGATGCAGGAACTCCGTGAGCCCGACCCGTCTGACCCCAAAGACAATGTGACAAGGTCACTGAGAAGAGCGATTCCGAGAGAAACACAAGAAGCCCAAAGAAAAATCCCATCCCCAACACTCACCTTCCCAAACTTAGCCGGAGCGGCCCAAGAGCCTGCCCTCGAAGAAGAAGCCACCGACCACAGCTCCATCGTAGCGGATGCGCACAAGGTTGTCAGTAGGGCCCCGCAAAAGACCTGCATCTCCGAAGCGACACGTGAACTGTGCTTCTGGGCCTGCTGGCAATGCTGCAATTCTGGCTGGGGGCAGCGGGCATCGGATGCGGTGCAGCTTGAGAAAAACCGGTCCAGAACGACGTACACAAAAGCACTGAACCAATATCGAACTCTAAACGTTGCAGACTCTAACCAAACTCGCCCCAATGAGCCGTCTTCGGTGCCTGGTCGGTCTGCACATGCATGCACATGTATACACATGTACACACATGTATGCAAGTGCATACAAATGTATCCACATGTATACACATGCATACAAGTTTATTCACATGTATACGAATGCATACACATGTATACGCATGTATACACATGTATACACATGTATACACATGTATACGCATGTATACACATGTATACACATGTATACACATGTATACACATGTATACACATGTATACACATGTATACACATGTATACACATGTATAGACATGTATACACATGTATACACATGTATACACATGTATACACATGTATACACATGTATACGCATGTATACACATGTATACAAAGTATACGCATGTATACACATGTATACACATGTATACACATGTATACACATGTATACACATGTATACACATGTATACACATGTATACACATGTATACACATGTATACACATGTATACACATGTATACGGATGTATACACATGTATACACATGTATACACATGTATACGCATGTATACACATGTATACACATGTATACACATGTATACACATGTATACACATGTATACGCATGTATACGCATGTATACACATGTATACAAAGTATACACATGTATACACATGTATACACATGTATACACATTTATACACATGTATACACATGTATACACATGTATACACATGTATACGCATGTATACACATGTATACACATGTATACACATGTATACACATGTATACACATGTATACACATGTATACACATGTATACACATGTATACACATGCATACACATGTATACACATGTATACACATGTATACGCATGTATACACATGTATACACATGAATACACATGTATACGCATGTATACACATGTATACATGTATACACATGTATACACATGTATACACATGTATACACATGTATACACATGTATACACATGTATACACATGTATACACATGTATACACATGTATACGCATGTATACACATGTATACACATGTATACACATGTATACACATGTATACACATGTATACACATGTATACGCATGTATACACATGTATACACATATACACATGTATACATGTATACACATGTATACACATGTATACACATGTATACGCATGTATACACATGTATACACATGTATACACATGTATACACATGTATACACATGTATACACATGTATACACATGTATACACATGTATACACATGTATACGCATGTATACACATGTATACACATGTATACACATGTATACACATGTATACACATGTATACACATGTATACACATGTATACACATGTATACACATGTATACACATGTATACACATGTATACACATGCATACACATGTATACACATGTATACACATGTATACACATGTATACACATGTATACACATGTATACACATGTATACACATGTATACACATGTATACGCATGTGTACACATGTATACACATGTATACGCATGTATACGCATGTATACACATGTACCACAACTACACCATTCGCCGCGGGTCCTCCCAAGCAAACGGGCGGCGCAAAATCGACGGACATGCTTGGACACAGGTGGCTTGCAAAGCAAGGTTCGGTCCAACTCGCAAACTGTTGAACTTAGCGTTGCTGCCGGGTCCACCACCTCAGCACTTGGTTTGAAGGTCCTAAGCTCTTACTCCGGGACCAATAGGAACAAGGTCGCCCTGCGCATCCAATTTCCAAACGTCTGCAGAGGGATGCTGGGTGTGCCTGCTTAAGGGGAATGGCCAGAACTACCAACTACCATCAGGAGCAAGACCCACTACCCACCAAAACTGGCAGACACCAATCCCACACCCACAAAGCATCGTGCCTGATTTCATGCGAGAGGCGCCAAACTTCAGCCGGAGGTCCGGAATAAACCCGACGTGGAACTGAACCTCGGCTGAAGCTTGGAAGAACATCTCCTTGGACCTAGCTGCTTGAGAGCCACGGGCTGAAACGAAAGCTCCATAATGGACAGGGCTGGGGACGTAGAACTGGAATAGGCCAACAATGTGCAATCAGATTTGTCATGTTGTATTCAGGTTGGGACATAGGTCCTAGAAAGACATGCTTATACGTGGAGTTAAGCAAGACCGCCGACGCTGGCTTCGGAAGAGGCCCATTTCTCGCACCGAAGCCCTGGGAAAGGAGACCAATCTAGCCCAAAACGACCCCTCATGGCAATGGGGTTTCGGCCAGCCCCGGTGGGGGATCGTCAAAAACGAAGGCTCGCGCTCCTCGATGTCACATCCATCCCTCCCACCCTCCCAATGCCCAATTTTCTGCAGAAGCCCTCCAGATAGCCGTCCTGTCATTTGCACAAGGTCAAGCCAGGAACCCAAAAACAATCCGAATTACAAGCGTGCCGGAATGAAATCCCCACGTTGAAGTCCATTCGTATGCACATTTTCTAGAAGAGTAGAATAAGATGTAATCAGGTGATGCAGGGTAGTTGATTCCAGTACTTGGCGAAAAAAAGCCATCTCACACCACGCGTGATCCCCTCTCCCGGCTCACGGACATAGCGATTCCAGCACTACATTGGCACTTTTCGACTCAACGAGTTGAATCCTCCCGGCTTCCCGCGCAATTGACACGCAATTGACGCGCCGCAGAAGCGCTGCAGACGCGCCGCAGACGCGCCGCAGACGCGAAGCAGACACGCCGCAGACGCGCCGCAGATGCGCCACAGACGCGCCGCGGACGCGCCGCAGATGCACCGCAGACGCGCCGCAGACGTGCAATCGCGCCACTCCGGCTCTCTGTCCTCCCGCCTCACAGATGCAGCGAGTCAAGTCCTACATTTGTACCACAATTCAAGGAACACCCTCCTGGCTCCCTGCGCCATCCCTGCGCCATTTCCGAGCCAACACCCGAGACGTTCTTGGGAGAAAAGAGACATGATCTTGCGGTGCCGAATGCAAGCGGAAAGCCTGCGTAGATGTCGCCTTCCAGATCTGCAATTTCGCCTGCCCAGAGGGTCGGTCTAGTGCTACTGCTACTGCTACTGCTACTGCTATTGCTACTGCTACTGCTACTGCTGCTGCTACTGCTGCTGCTGCTGCCACCGCTGCCGCCGCTGCTGCTGGACGTCACGTGCCTAAAGAAAATCGCAAAGGCTTGCGGGCATTGCCTAAGAAGAGAAGCAGGGTTTGCACTGCTTGCTGCAGCACTTCGTGGCCTAACAACCGAACAGACGACGAACTAATCGTCCTGGCCAATCGTGCGGCTTCGGTGCTATGAGCTTGTTCACCATGGACGCACAGCTGTCACGGCTGCGCGCGTGGAGGACGTCGTCAAGGTTTGGGCATGAAGCGTTGCTGACACGAATGCCACGGGAGTTTGAGCATGGGCGCACTGCTGACACGGATGCGCGCATGGAGGACGTCATCATGGTTTGGGCATGGACGCGCGGCTGACATGGACGAGCATGGGGAAGCGGCATTGGCGTGGGCATGAGCTGCCAAAAAATGCAAGCATGCCAAGAAAACAACGCAATCAAACAAGGGCGTATCTTCTCGTATGGCATGCGCGTTTCTACTCCAAATTGTCGAAACATTAGCAAATGAAGAGACTCTGAAGTGTTTATCTGCTATAAATACACACAATAGGTATACGAACGTAACTACAAGTAACCATGCAGCGATGAGGATTTCCAACTCAACAGTACAGATCCAGCCCATTCTGCACATGCGAAGCGAGAGCGTCCTATTTTGCAGGCGTTAGAAATCAAAGAATCCTTCCGAGGATGATTTAAACTTTTACACGATGTGGGATACTCCCGGCAAATCTGGGCCTACGGGCCTACGTGCTAAAGACGTGCGACCGCATCACATTGTGTTCTTGTGACCGGGTGAAGACCGCAAGCTGGGACCACCTCTCACCTTAAGTTTGCCACCTTAGGTTTCCCGTGCGCACAGGACGACCACTCCTCACTCTGGTGGGCCGCGGGTTCCCGTTTGGACGAACTTTTCGCCTGAGCGCTCCGCAAGGACGACCCACCCGTTTCGAACAGGCCGTGAGACTACCAGGACTCCTTTTCGTATTTCTGTGTGAAGCACAGCTCTCTGGGCCTGCAGGTTCCCTCGAAGCACGAACACGGCATGTCCGGCCCTAAACGTGACACTGAGGATAGTAAGGCGCCGGCCCCCGCCCTGTCACTGCCTGGAATGTCAAAAGCCTTCCCAAGAACAGCCGCAGTCCGGCGCTACAGCAGCCCGCCGCAACTCCCTGTCGCATCTGAGCATGGCCTGTGTAGCCTAGCCGTACAGGCATGGCTGATCGTCTCAATCAGCTCGAACAACGATTCACAATCTCGGGCAACTCCACAAATGCCCAGTACGAAAGCAGACATACCAACACTCATTAGCCAGTTCGTGAAGCAGCCGATTCTAGCAAAAAAGCGAGAACTGGCAGAATGTACCCTCAAGGATCGAAGGCTTCCGAGTGCTTTTGGGCGCTGCCCAGCTTGCACCAAGCGCGCTGTGCATGTTGTGGTCAGGTCACGAGCAGCTCTTCCCTGTGCCCACGTGAACTTAGACATCAGTTCTCACGAGTGGGCGACATACGCCATGCATTTTCGCCTGATGCGTTTACAGTATTTTGCTGCTGTCCAGAGGACGCATGTCCAACCTCCTGTGCTCTGATTTGCATCTTGTATGTATGAGTATATTCCTTGCGACAAAGACCTATGCGCGCGGAAACAACAGTGAGTGGTCGTCCAAGAGAACACGGGAACCCGAAGGTGTGGTCATAAGTAAACGACTTGGCGCGGCCTACCCACGCTCCGATTACGAGCAGCTGGAAGCCACAGGCCTAGCACAAACCTCCCGAAACATCCCGCACTCCATCGTTGCCCAAGCCTTGTGAAGTCAAAGAAGCTGCTAGGACCATTTGTTGATTCGGGAGGAAGGATGACACTCAACTTGCCATGGCCTTGTAAGGTATGCCAAAGAATGTGATTCCTCCAAGGAAGTTTAGGAAGAACTCTGTCTCTTGCTCGCGCAGCTTTGTCAGCACCTCAGACACGGGGCACTGCATCGCATTGAATCCACACATCTCGACCCAGCCAACAACGCTGCGACCCTGGGGCCCTGGCATCGTCTCTATTGGAGTCATCTCAGTTTCGCACACGAACCCCCCATACAAGAGAGTTGCCACACTGGTCCCCAGGCACCAGGCCGACTGCGACATTGATCCAGAGATCGACGAACGGAAGCTTGTCCTGGCAAAGCCCCAGCCATCAAGAGGTCCTTTAGCCACAGCTCCCGATGCTGAAATCGGACCTGGAACCCCTCCACAAACGGAACTGGGAACACATGCACCTTGGAACTCGCTTCCCGCCTTGTGGCGGCGCCGACGCCACCGAAGAGAGTTTGACAAAAGAGCCTCCTCCCCAGTCAGTGCCTTCGTCTGCAGTAACCTAAGGCCATTCTGAGACTCTCAGAACAAGGTTTAGGGATCGGGGCTTGGACTTTCGAGGCCTTCGGCTTTAGGGTCAGGGACAATGACTCAGCGTTAGACAGAAGGATGGTCCCTTGATCCGTTCCCTTGGCCCAGGCGCTGCCGAGGCGCGATGCTTTGTCGCAACTCTCCGAGCAATGTTCGCCCCAGGCGAGGCACAAAAGAGGAATCAAACGAAGAAAGCTCATGGTAGCAAAGGGGCCATGAAGCTTGGAGCTCAAGCTACGCTACCGCCGAGCCTCAGATGCTTCGCGTCAAGTGGCGCTTTCTTGCTTCCTTGTCGTCCATCGATTGATCAGACTTCCACCCTGAAAGACGATCACTGTTGGGAAACCCTGAACTCGACTTGCCACCAACAGACTCGATCATGACATATCTTGGACACTGCCAGATTTCCAACATCTTCTTTAGCCTACAGCAACAAAGCTGGCTTCGTGAGAACCCAGACATCTCTTCCCGCGGTCTTTGTTCACGCTCATTTTCCATGCGTCTGTGTTGGCTGGTAAACCCTGGGTAATTCAGATTCTTGGCCGTCCTCGGGTCGTGGAAAGCGGGGGCTTTGCAGTGGGGGTCAAATGCAAACACAAGGACTTGCAAAAGGCATTAGGGGGTTGATCGATATTCTTGTTCCGATGAGCGACCAAAAAACACCCCTTGCGCCCGCCCTTGCGCGCACTTGCGCACTTCTTGCGCGCACACGAGTTTTTGCATAATATCTTAAGATGGTTCTTGTATTTTTACAGATACATTAAATATGCCCCCTGCTCGCACTTGCGCCCGCCCTTGCGCCTGCCCTTGCGCGTTCTTGCGCGCGCACCATGTTTGGAAGGTTTTTTCAAGAGTGGTCTTTATGAATAAATCGCCTCTGTAGTACTATGTCAAGAACAGGGGGTTTAGAACAACCCTCATTTGGGGTTAAGGAAGTTCGAATCGCAAATCAAGATTCTCAAGCCCAGACACTGAAGCCATAAATACATGCTGGACTGAAATCCTTGGCAAATAACGCAAAGGAATCTTTAAGCCGCTACCCTGAACTCTCTCTCTCCCCTTAACAACATGATTGCTACTGAACTCATTGGGTTCTTGCTTGCACGAAAGAAGACCCAACTTCTCATGAAGCACGGAGTGATGATAACTATCAAGAACGACCCGAAACGACCGCAACCGCAACCGTGACGCGATGAAGCTGAAAATGGACATTCCAGTCAGCAGGCAAGGAGCAGATCCGTGCGGACGCGTGCGGCTGTCCCTGAGGAGCGCTAGGGAGCCTTCACGAACTTTTAGGGAGGTGCTTGCTGCTGGATTTCATCGACTTTTGTGATTGGACCACTGTTTTCGGCAGCTTTTAGCCTTTGTGGCGAGAGCCCTGGTTTGACCGGAAGCCGAACGAAGCCAACAGAGCCCGCCTGCCACGAACTAGGCAATCTCAGCCAATGCTGGCCGAGCAGAGCCTAAGCAGCAAGGTGGATGCAGGGAGTCACAACTGCAACGGCTGGCTGCCTGCACAGAGACAGCCAGAGCTCTCCCATCCACTCTTGATAAGCAAAACGTGTGTGCCCTATGATTCTGTGGAAAGCACATTGCTCACCTTATTGATAACTAAGTCTTAGGGCTTGTCGCGCTTTCTCATCTCACCTTAGAGCCTCATCCTTCATGTTTTGACCAAGACCACTCGGCCACAAACGCGGCTACCAGGCTCTCACAAATCTTTTGCTCCACGTCCGATATAGCTCGCTCCATGTCTATGTTCAAAATTGATTCGCTGTGATGATCGCTGTGAAGATCCGTCCTGAGGAGCCTCCACACAGCTGCAATGTGCTCCTTTTAAGCCCTAAATGGGTTGCTCTTCCCAGGGTGGTGTGAGAGCATGCCTTTTGACATGCCCCTACTCTCTGCGTTTGCATGAGGGGGTATCTCTGACAAGAGCATCTGCCCCAAGCAGGCTGAGTGAAGTGTTTAGGCTTTGATGGCTTTAGGGTCTGCACTCTGGCAGTCAATCCTTCATCTCGATCCTCTTGTGACCTCTTCGTTTGACTAGCTGCAATTGGCTTCAAGTCACTGTAGTACTGTAGGGGCCTAACCAAGTGCCAATGTCATGTTGAGGTCTGAGGTACCCATGCCATAATCTTACAAGCAACCTCAGACCACAATGTTGCCAACCATGCATGCTCATAAGCTCCTGCATAAACACAGCTTCCATTTGCTTGTCCATGTTCTCTTCCAGTTGATTCCCCGGTGGTCCCCAAACGTACATGCGAAGTGACGTTTCAATTTAATTAGCAACTTCATTCTCCAGTTGCTCACTACCCATTACATTTGCTCACAGTATTTCAGCCGGAAGACGCACATGCACCTCAGCCTGCAAGGCGTCCTGACAAAACGCTGCGGATGCATCGAGCTTCGCGCCGTTCGAAAGACAAAGAGGGGTCTGTAGGGATATACGGTTAACCATATATAAGGCGAACAAGTTGAGGGTTCAGGGTTAGGGCCCATTCAACCTGAATAGTGGAGAATCAATTTGAAAGATGAGGGCAGGCAACATGATGCTGCGCAACAGTCTGTGCTTGCAACTAATAATATTGAGTAAGGCATACAAGTTCAGCCAACACGAACAGCACCGCATGCACGATGCAAGTCTCGACAGCTCCTAGGTGCGGGGGCATACCTAGCAATCAAGTGCGTCGACGCACGATCGCCGGAAAACTCTGCCCCCTTCTTCGACATGTGCTGTACCAGGCTGCTCGAATCATCCTTCGAAACATCCTGGCAAAAAAAAGCATAAAGGCGCAACGGACGTGGGAGCTGTTGAATTTTGCATCTTTTCCCAGTTTGTGATTCCTCGACAACTCTTTGAGCTCCTGGTCTGTAAGACTCAGGACACAGTTGCTGGGCAGGTGCGAAATTCGCAGCTACCCAAGGAGCACTGACTGGGAACCCTGGAGTTAGGCAATACAATATGCCCCCCCCCCCTCCCCACAATAATGGTGCCATAACCCTATTGTCACCCATTCAAGGTAGGTTGTCTAACCTGCTAGTAACCCCAGAGCCCCACCAAGTAATGTACAGTCCGCGCTGCAAGCTTCAGGTTTGCTTTAGCAGCGCCGAAGGAAGATTGCTACCCTGCCACCACATCAGGAGCAAAGAAAAAGGACGAATGATAGTGCTGGATGATATGCCATAAGCCTTAAGGACAAGGAGAGTAAGATGCAAGTGCCAGCGCCCAGCCACAGGTCACCCGGTTTAGGGCTTGCATTCCTGTTTCGTGTAGGTTTTGCAGCTTAGGGACCTCCGGGTTGAGGATGCTTGGCAAAGGTTCCTGCAAACACTAGCGGAAATGCACGCAATGATGAACCGAACAGTTGGCTGTGCAACATTGGGTGTCCACAAGGTCCGTTTTGAATGTTCCGCAAGCATGTAGCCCCTCACCATGCGTAGAACTAGAGGGCAATTCGTTGTCTGGCAGCAGTCGAAAGAAACCCTTCTCCTGCATATCCCCACCCCTAATATCAGTCAGGTATATTGGACTCCCCACGACAGTGCGTTCGACATTAGGAGCAAATGATCCCACAAGATCGGCGCGTGGAAAGGCAATCTAAGTCGGCTGCTGATTACGGCTAAAGCAGTGCAAATAGAACACGTGCATGCTTATCGTGTTGCAACAAGACTGCATGCCACAGACTAAAGCTTATACACTTGAAGAAGCACATGATCTTTCGTTGCAACGTGCAGTCACACGTTTAGTGGTCACAGCCTTCCCAACAAAAAAAAAAGTGCTGGTACTGGAATGGTTGTCGACAGGATGTGAGCTACAAGATGTGTTTCCTATGCTTCCTTACTCTGCCAATCGCTAGTAGCCTCCACGCTGGGCAGCGTTTTGCTGGACTGACCTGAAAACTGCTTCCCTTCAGGACCCAGAAGCACATAGCCATCAGCCCGCTCGGGCGTCTGCACGTTGAGGGTATCTGTTAGGAAGTAATCCTCTGCGGGACACTGTAGCTACTTCGCTCATGTGCTTTCTTGTGGCCCTCTCTCACAGCGAGGATTCCACTGGCCTGCGGCAGCTGGGCTTTCGGTCGGATCGTGAAGGCTTTTCAAGTCTCCAGTGTCAGGGCTGGGCTGCGAGTCCTAGACAGTTTTCGAGCTTTTCAGAACGAAGGGGTCATCATGATGGTGCAAAATAGCAGCAACACAAGCAGCGGCGACTACAACAAGTAGCAACATCACTGCCTCGAAAAAAGCTCCTGACTCCTGTCTGCTCTTGAGCGTTATATGCATGATTGTGGTGTCTGGTGCCTACCATGTCGATCAGAAGTGCAGAAGGCTGCCTTCACGGAAGCTTGAGGGGAGACACATTGTGTGTCCTTGTGGTGCACCTGCGGCATGGGTTCGGTGGACCCCCCACCCTGTAGTGGTAAACTAGACCCGAGTACAATCACCATTGTCCCTTATTAGCCCTGCTGGGTGGGGGTCTACCGGGGCTTTCTTGTCCAGCTTACAGGAAAGACCGTACGGAACCTAGCTTGCTTCGGCTCCCTACTCACGGGTCAAATACGATTCTTCGGGTATGCTGTATTAGACGCACGATTTCCTCTGCATGTTCGCTTCCCGCTTTGTCCCCCATGTCCTGCCCAAGGGAAGGGATCTTGTGAACCACCCCACCCCCCTAATCATGAATATTCACCCAATCCGCCGAGGCCGGAGGCCTGAGGCGTTCAAGTCTACCACGTGAGGGGGGGAAGGCGGCATGCCCGTCCCGCAACAAGCACAGGGTGGTTTTTTTTTTTTTGGGGTGGGGGGTGGGGGTTGGGGGCGGGGGAGGGGGGGAAAAGGGGAGGGGGGGGAGGGGCAAGGGAGGGGGGGGGGGGGGGGGAAGGAGGGGGGGTAGGCGGCATGTCGGACAACAAGCGCTCGCACTGTGTTGCTTGTTGCTTTGAGGTGTAAAGTTGAAAGCTCTCCGAGATTTGGCTTCGCGCGGTGTCAGGGAGGGAGGGGGGTGGGCTTCTTAACGCTCGGGCTTCGGCGTTGGGCTTAAGGCTTTGGGGGAGGGTGGTGGGGGGCGTGGCCGGGGGGGGGGGGGGGGGGGGGCGGGGCAAAACAAACCCGGCCTCAATGTGTTTGGGAGGGGTGGGTACACTTCTTACCCACTTCCCCTTCCTGCCGCCTCGGTACCCTTGCCGAGGCGGCCTCG